AACTGAAAGATAATAGCTCTATAGAATATGTATTTTAAATTACATCAACACAGGGCCAACTGGTGGTATAGCAAGCTAATCCTCCCTCTGTGGCACAGGTATCTCATATGGGCACTAACTCAAGTCCTGGCTCTTCCAGTTCCCTTCCAGTTCTGTGCCTGTGGCCTGGAAAAGCAGTGGAAGATGGCCCAAGTGCTTGGGACCCCGCACCCATGTGGGAGACCTGGAAGCATCGCCTGGCTCCTGGCTTCAGACTGGCCTAGCTTTGGCCCTTGCAGTCATTTCAGGAGTAAAACAGCAGATGGAAATCTCTCTCTCCCTCTGCCCTTCAAATACAAATAAATAACTCTGAAAAAATTGCATCAGCACATTACTTTTGATGTCCTGTCCTTGCAGGGTAGTTACACACCCACATGACCCACCTCTCTCTGACTCAGCTACTTCCCTCCTATCCACTACTTGTCCATGCCTGGCGCTTGGGGCCCCTGGCTGGGCCACATTTCCACCTGAGTCCTGGCCAGTCCCTCCATGTGGCCCCAGAGTTCACTGTTTCTGGACATATACTAGACTTCGTAGCTCCCTCCTACCCTCACAGTGCCCGGCCCCTCCATGCCTTACCACTCTAGCACCTGTCCCTGTGTATTTCAATTGCTTCTTGTCCTCTCTGTGCTTTACAATGGGAGTCTCATGAGGGCAAGGTCTTCGGTCCATCATCTCTCCATCACCTAAAATTGTCCCCGGCCCACAGCAGGTGCTCACCAAGTGCTTGCCAACTTCCTGTTGAAAGTTGAGCTATGCGTCAGCGGGAAACTGTTTATTTTCTTAAGTGAAAAACATTGGGCTCCCATCCAAAGGCCCGTCTGGTGGGAAAGCTGGCTGGCTCTGATACAGATCAGAGGGCAAAGGGGACCCAGACCTGCTCAACCAGGGCAGAAGCGAACTTGGTCTCAGAAAGAGGCAGGAGTGGCTGTGTACAGAGGTCTCTGCAGCCTCCCCAACGTCGAGCAGCAGCCAGGACCTGCAGTCCAGCACACAGCTCCAGCGCAGGAGCAGCGTCTCAACCCAAGGGGCCTGCAGACAACAGCGGGGGAAGAGGGGAGAGCTGGGAGAGAGGGGGAGAGAGAGGGGGTAGAGGGGGAGTGGGAGAGGGGAAGGAGGGGAGGAGGAGAGGGGGAGAGGGGGAGAGGGGGAGAGGGAGGAGAGGGAGGAGAGGGAGGAGAGGAGGAGAGGGGGAGAGGGGGAAAGGGGGAGGGGAGGAGAGGGAGAGGGGGTAGGGGGAGAGGGGGAGAGGGGGAGAGCGGGAGAGGGGGCGGCTGCCAAGGTGCCAAACACTCCCACTGCTCACCTTGGGCAAACAAAGGCAAACAGAGGCAGCACGATCCTCCCACCCTGCCTGGGGCGCCTGAAGTGAGGAGTGAGTTTTTAGGTGCAAGGAAAATGTGTGTTACCTCTCATTCCCTTTGTCCATGACCTTTTGAAGTGCACTGTATAGAGAATTCTCATGATTTGGGGGTTTCACGTTCATCTACATACTAAGCTTTTCATTGGTCTCTTAATTTCAGAGGCAGAAAGACCGAGGGCTCCCACCTGCTGGTTCAATCTACAGCAAGGCGGGGTGTAGACAGCCAGAGCCTAGAGTTGGGAACTCAACCCACGGCCCCGCCCCCTGGGTGGCAGAAACCCATTTGCCTGAGCCATCCCTGCTGCCTCCCGGGCTCGGTGTTAACAGGAAGCTGGAATTGGGAGTCAGAGCCAAGGAATGAACTCAGAGACTCTGATGGGGAATGCAAGCATCCACTAGGCCAACCACCTCCTCCAACCTGGTAACATTTACAAGGGGCGGGGTAGTGCAGCAGGTGAAGTCACCGCTTGGGATGCCCACACCCCACATCCCAGGGCCAGTTTCAGCTCTGATTGTTGTTCTTCCGGTTCAGCTTCCCATGAATGCATCCTAGCAGGCCTCAGGTGGCGGCTTAAGCGCTTGGGTCCCCATCACCCATGAGAGCCAGATGGAATTTCTGGCTCCCAGCGTCATCCCGGCTCAGCCCAGCCCTGGCTGTTGCAGGCATTTGGGGAGTAAACCAGTAGATGGCAATCTATCTCTCACTAGCTTGCTCGGCCTTTCAAGTTAATGATAACCTTAATCACAGACACGCCGGGAACAGTGGAGACTGCCTCTCCGGATGGCCCAGTCCCTGCTGCGGCCAAACACGGCCTACTGTTTCAGCACTCCTGCTGGGGCATCCTCTTGGTGGTCCACTTAAGCGCCCTCTGTGCATGTGTCTGTGTTGGGGCGGGGGAGGGTTGCTTTTACAAGTGGCCCATAAGTCAGTGCTGCCCAGTGCTCCTCTCCGACAGAGAATCCAAGTCCAGAGGTAACCCTGAGCTCCATGGCCATGAAGCAATTTTAACATAAGCATAAGGAAATTACAGCGTCTTGAAAGACAAGCTCACAGAAAACAAGGTTACGGACTCAGGCTGATAAGAACGCAGGGTCCAGAGGCCCGCAGGGCCTGGTGCAACTGCACCCAGGAAGGAGGCTTTAGTTCTTAGCACTGGCACCTCTGTGCAACACAACTGGCCTGAGACAAGACCCCTCAGACAGCCCCTCACCTGTCCCCGTGCAACTGCCCTAGCTGCGGCTCTCTGCACACAGGTCCCTCCGGCAACCACGGGCCTGCCCAGGTTACCCGGCTCGCCCACTGCCCCATCACGGCTGGTCCTGACCCACCTCCCTCTCACCCACAAATGTACAGTGGCCACCAAGACCTGGGAGTCCCCAGAGAAGTAAGCTAAGCACAAAATACACCCCAGCTCTGCAAGACTTTAGTGCAACAATGGAACAACACCTCAAGGATCTATTTCGTGTGTGTGTGCACGTGAAGTGATCCCTTGTTAAAATGACACTATTCCAGCTAACTCACTATGCTACCTCTTAGCATGCCAGCAAAGGAATCTTTATTCAGTAGGCTGACCTGTCCTCCAGGTCAGTCTGGGAGGACACGGCTGGGAGGAGAGCAGTCAGCCTCACGGCCCAGCCCCAGCCACTCGACGGCTCACCCCATAGACGGCCCAAGGCTTCTCTGGGGCAGGGCAGGAAACACCTGTCTGGTGGCTTCCTGTGACACACAGATGCATATGTGCACGCACAACTGGGCTGGGAAATCAGGGTTAAAAAGTTTCAAAGATGTGGGCTGGCACCGTGGTATAGCACACCAAGCTTCCAGCAGATGCTCTGGCACCCCACATGGGTACCAGTTTGAGTCACCATGGCTCCACTTCCCTGTTAATGGCCTAGGAAAACAGAGGCTGGCCCAGCTGCTTGAGCCCCTGCATCCATGTGGGAGACCCAGGTGAGGCTCTTAGCTCCAGGCTTCAGGTCAGCCTGTCTTGACCACTGCATATATTTGGGAAATGAATCAGCAGATGGAAGATCTTTCTGTCCCTCCCTCTCTATCTATAACTCTGCTTTTCAAATAAATCCTTAAATTAAAAAATAAATAAATAAATCAGTATTTGCTTAAGAAAGCTTAAAAGATGAACTATTTCACCCCCAGAAGACAGGTACCACGTGAGCCACGATGTGGGGGTACAAAACACATCATCACCTACCGTCCATAGCAGCTGCCGATCAGGGGTCCCCAGCCCCTGAAATGTAGCTATTGTGACCCGGCACTGACTTCTTAAATTTACTTCATTTTAATTTTGAATTCAAACTGTCACATGTTGCACATGGCTCCTACACTGGACAGAACAGTTCCTCCTGACTGTGGTGATGGAATAGGATCAGTTAACATTAAAAAAGAAACAAAAACAAAAAACCAAAACCTACAGCCCTGTTGTAACAGCAGGGGTGCTGCGGTCTGCAAAATTCCAAGTCTGAGATTCAGAGAGCTCAACCTCACACAGACTCCACCCCTGGTAAATGAAAAGCCACTGAAATAAACACACACACATAGCAGGAGGGACTGCCAGGGCTTGGGGCTCCTGCTTCAGCCATGCGGAGGGCGGTGGGGTGGGTGTGGGATCCTGCGGACCCTTCCCACAGCTTCCAGGAACACCTCTTCCACCCCACCCCACCACACACAGGCAGCTTGTACATTCCAGTACATTCTACTCCTCCCTCCCGCCCCCTCATGCCAGAGCCAAATATTGCCTTGACCTTCCGAGCGGTGGCCATTCTAGCCATGTCCTACACCACACCAACTACTCCCCCGCAGGGCCTCGCATTCCTCTAGCTTTGGCTCATCCCACAGCCCCGGGAGGACACGTGCCGGGTTTGCTCAGGTTTGCTGAGTTCAGGAAAACTCAGAAAGGGTAGAGACTAATTGGCAACTAGGAAGAATGCTCACTTGCTTGTTTACACTCAGATTAGAAAAAAAAAAAAAAAGAAAGAAAGAAAGAAAGAAAGAAAGAAAGAAAGAAAGAAAGAAAGAAAGAAAGAAAGAAAGAAAGAAAAAAGAAAAGAAAGAAAGAAAATGCTAATGAAATTCAAATCAACTTCCAGTCGCTTAAGAATTTTCCCAGCAGGAAAGCCCTTCCCAGTCTAAACAGCTTCTGGTGATCATTAAGATAATTACATCGTGCACACAGCAAAAACAACGCAAAAAGCGGCGGAGACATGGAAAGGGGAAAGGGCAAATGATCTGGCCAGCAGAGCCAAAAGCTGCTGTGAGACCCAGGGGCTGGCACCTGCCCCTCGTGCCCTGCGAAAAGGCCGCCTTCAATCTCACAGCGTCTGTGACAGCAAAGACCGCGGCTGATTTTCTGCTTTGTCCTTTTCTCTCTCCCAGACTCAAAAATCCGGGACTTTCAGCATTGTGTAATGCTCCACGCTGGCCCCTTGGAGCCTCCCAGATAAAAAAACACTTGAAATTGGATCCACACGCAGCCCGCCCACAGGTCACGCTCACTGGCTGGCTGCTTCCCTCAGCAGGCAGCAGGCACCTCCCCGCCCGAGCGGACACCCCTCTCGGAGGAATGGGGACCCAGCTCCGTACCTCCAATTCAGTCTCCCGGCGGTTGATGTCATCTGTGGATTGATTTAACTTCTCCAATTCTCCCTGGGGGATGGGAAGGGGTAAAAAAAAAAAAAAAAGACTTAAAAAAATCTGTTTCCACAATAAATCAGTTCCATAACCTCAAACTTTAGTCCCAGCCCAGCGTGCAGCAGGTTGGGCAACAAGTGCAGGGTTAGGCCAGGAGAGCCCATCAAGGTCAAGATCTCTGCCACCCTTTGGTTGTGACATCCCGACGAACCCCTGTACCTCCTCTTGCAGGTACAGGCGTTCGGGAAGACTACCTGTGACCATGGGGTTAGCAGCCCTGTCTAAACACCACTACACGCCTCAGAGCAAGAAAAGAAAGCTATCCTACAATTCAGACCAAGCCAAATTATTTTTATTAACCCACAATTAAACCATTGAAATCAAAGGCAGATTCGTGGCATCAACCATCCGTCCTTGTCTATTTCTCAATCTCTTTTCACTCTAGTGATAGGTTTCAAAAACAGGGGGAAAAATTAGGAATCAGTTAACATTAAAAAAAAAAAAACCCTACAGCCCTGTTGTAACAGCAGGGGATCCTAATTCCTTAAATTAACACAAGTTGATATTTTGCAAAGAAAAAAAAAAGTTCCCCATGTGAAGTTAGTTCATCTTTAAAATAAAGCCCCAGGCTAACAGAATTCCACACCTTAAATACAAGATTTATTTGCCAATCCAGCCACATGAAGTTCATCAATCCAATTCTTTCCACCTGATATCTATCTTGCTCATCTGCCAAAACAATTTACTTAACCCCCAACCACTAAGTCAGCTTTTAATTAATTTGAGCACTAAATAAATACATAAATAAATAAATAGGGCTCCAGAAACCGCAGAGCAGGCTTAAAAGCAGTATACATATTTTTAAAAGATGATTTATGAAAGGGCAGAAAAACGGGTCTGGGAAGGAATCTGCTGTGTTTTTTTTTCTGTTTGAGAGGGGCGGGGGGAGGGGAGCGAACGAGGTCAGGCTGTCACTCCCACACGCCGACTTGGAAATCGTTTTTTAATCATCTCTCTCGGAAATGGAGGCGCAGGAAAGCAGGGCCAAGCCGCCGGCCGTGTCCACCGCCGTCTTCGCGCATCGAATGTGCCCGATTTCTGTTCATTAGCCAGAGGGAAAACGCAGGGTTTTAAACCACCGCGGGGCAAGCGCAGCACGTTAAGCCGGGGGCGAGGAGTCCGGGGGGCGGGGGGACCCTTGGTTTGCTAACAATGAACCCAGGGAGCAGCAGCACGGCTCAGTCCGGGCACCTCCGCCAGGTGACAGCTCCCAGCCAGCCCGAGGCTCACGCCCACGCTGCGGGCGCGGACGACGCCCACCAGTCCCCGGCCGCCCTGGGGCCCGGCGCTGCGGACTCGGCCACAGCGTCCGTCACCCGAGAGCCGGCGACCGTGCAGTGCCGCTGGCGCCGCGAACCAGGCTGCGGGTACCCCAAGACCAGCCAGGCGCCCCCGCCCCCTTTTCTCTTTGTTGCACATTCGCCCTTCCAAACCGCCGGGCGGCGCGGCCACCCCTGGGTACCCCAGCTCTGCGGGAGGATCTCCCGCTCCATAGACCGTATCCACGCAGGCACTGCAGCCTCCCGGCCGGGGGGATTAGAAAAGAAAGGGGGGGTGGTCCTCCGTCCAACCCTCTCCGCTCGCCCGGACTCGACGCTGGGCGCTGAAGGCGCCGGACGAGCGTACACACGGTCTCCGAGACAGCCCTCGCGGAGCCGGCGTGCGGGGCGCGCTCTGTGCGCCCTACCTGGATCCGAGGGTCCACCTCCTCTTCCTCCTCCTCCTCCTCCAGGCACCGCTCCATGCCCTCCTCCGCCTCCTCCTCCACGTCCCGAACCGGCGGCAGGCACTCGGCCGGCTCCTCGGAGCGGCTCCGCTTCGTCGCCGCGTCCATGCGAGCAGCGCCCGGGACGCCCACGCGCAGCGGCCGCTGGAGCGCAGAGGGGTCGCGGCGGCGCAGGCTCGCCCTTGCCGTTCCCCGCCCCGGAGCGCGGCAGGCGGCGACGCCAAGCAGCCGCGGCCGCCCCCTTCCTGCGGCTGCGGGCAGCGCAGCGTCACCCCGCCCGCGCGAGGCCAGTGCCACGGCCCCCGAGCCCGTCACAGACGCCCTGGGAGGCCCTGCAGCCTTCCGTGGGCTTTCACGGGAGCCCGGGTGAGCCGAACCTGAACGCCGCCACGCCACGCCACGCGTGGGAGAGAGGGTTAGGTACCAGCCCCTTACAGGGCTCTGCGGAATCCTTGCAGCTTTGCTCAGGCCCCTGGATCCAGACCCCAGGGCCGCCTTAGCCCGGAGGCTGCAGCTACTAGAAGGTTCCTGAGAACCGGGTTCTGAACGCGCACGGGGGGCTTTGAAAAAGGAGCGCGTGGCCGCACCACGTGGGGATCCATTGTCCTCAGATTCCGCTACCCAGTCTGAGGTCGTCCTGAACTGGCTGTGCGCTTCTACCTGGATAGGCAAGGAGCTAGAAGCCAGTCCGTTGGATGCCCCCCGGGGCTGGACCCACCCCGGCGTCGGGTTTGAGTGCCAGTGTGGTGGCCTACCCAACCATGACGATTGGGACCATCACAAAAGGCCCCTTTGGAAGGACCACTGTGATGTGGGGAGGGCAAGGTCAGATGCCCTTGGAGAGCTGGGGGGAGCACATTGCCAATGGCCGATGTCCAGATCTTCACCACAACTGCAGGTTGAATACACTTTGAACAGAGAAGTTGTTAAGGAGGTTGAGTGCAAACTTGCTTAAATAAACAGCGTCTTTCTGGCCGACTGTGGTCAAAGCCACCTGGACAACCTACTTGGGATGGTTGCATCCAAAGCAGAGCAAGGTAGCACATGCTAGCACAGTGGTGCGCTCTGCAAAGATGGGGGCTGGTCCCTGGAAGTGATGCAGGTGTGTTCCATGGTGTGCTTCTGAAAAGCTTACACCTGCTGGGTCCTCTGGAAGGGCCAGGTGAGTCGGAGGTTCTGGGAGATGTTTTGAAACACCGAAGGGCCGAATTGCTCTTGGCTTTCCAGTAATAGCAGAAGGTGGAGGCAAGATGGCCACAGTCACTCAGAGGCATGAGATACACCTGTCACAGAGGACATTCAGCCCACCTGTGAACAGCTGAGACAGGCGTGGAGAAAGACCCGGAGAGCTCCTGACTCCTGGCTTTGGATTGGCTCAGCTCTGGCCGGTGCAGCCATTTAGGGAGTGAGCCAGCAGATGGAAGAACTTTCTGTTTCTCCTCTCCATAACTCTGATCTGCTGTTCCAACAAAAGCAAATCTTAAAAATAAATTTTAAAACGAAATGAAATTAAAATGTTAGTGATGGTTACCATGGGCACGGGAGATAGGTGGAGTTTACTCAAGGACAGGCGCGTCATTTTGATGTCACCCTGGAATGTGGCACGCCCCGAGACAGCTGGACTGTGTCCAGGCCAATAGTGGACAAAGGCCAACACCCCTTGATGTATCAGAACCCAAGCAGGGCTGGTATCAGCACCCACGTCAGCAGGAGTATAAATCCTTGTTCTCATTATCTCGTTCACTCTTTCCTACCTGCAGCTTCTTCCTCTCCTGCCCGTTCCTCCCGCTGCCGAGGAACGGACTTCTCTTTGCATAATAAAGGCTGTTTGTACTCTGTCGGTGTGGTCCGCGGATCTAACAGTACAGACCATACAACATAGCACAAATGGGGTGAACTCAAACAACACATCTTCTAGTTCCCTGGGGTCTGTGTCATGGCTGAGGGCTCTGCTGGGGTCTCACAGACAGAGTCAGCACTGGCTGAAGAGCTGCTTGCACCCTCACAAGGGGTGCTGCTAGAATACAGTCCGTTGTGGTTGTAGGACTAAGGTCCCCACATCCTTGCTCTCAGCCGGGGCACCCTCAGCTCCCGGAAGCCACTTGCATCTTCAGAGCCAGCAACAGAGAATCCCGCGTGTGTTGGCTTCCTCTACATTTCAGTCTGCTGCTCTGCAAGAACCCAGACCCTCCTCAGGGTCCCCTGATCAGCTCAGGCCCACCTAACCTAGTTTCCCCTTAAAGTCAGCTGAGCCTTGGATGTAGCCCAGTCCCAGGAGTGACTATGTCATCGTGTTTACAGATGCTCAAAACAACACACGAGTCTGTACACAGGAGGCAGGAAATGGGTTACTTTGCTAATCCTGCCTTTCACACATACTAAAAAGTTGTCTTCGATAACAAAACGCTAGAGACAATATTGCTTATACACCAGAGATGCGTTTCACAGCCCTGGCAGCGGGGATGAGAGCAGGGTGCCCATGAGGCCAGCTGCTGCAGAGAACACCCAGTGTTCGCAGACGCCTACCCGGCTTCTCAGTTGTCCTCCTGCGATGGGAGATCTAGAGTTTCCTGGGAACTCTTTTAGAAGACCAGCAAGGTCATTCATGAGGGTTCCACCCTCCTGACCTGACCAAGATCCACCTCCTAGTACCATGACACAGAGAGTCAGGATTTCAGCACATAACCGAAGCAATCCCTGTGAGTGGCTCGCAAGGAAAATGAAGGCTTTACTAATGACCTCCTGGCGTGCTGCTCAGGCACAGCGGTGCTGACCGTAGGGGCTGGAGACCCTCAAAGTCTCTGCGATCTTAGTGCATGAGATCAAAGACGACTTTATGCAGACAGGATTGGCCTGATTCCTTTTTCCTCCACCCTCTTCCCCAGGAGATGACTGCATTCCGGGTGTTTTTAACAAAGGCTTCAGAGCCTCGCTGGCAGGATTCTGGCAGGATTCTGGCAGGATTCTGGGCTGGGTCTACTTTCAGTTCACAGCTAAGGTGAGGCTGGCTGAGGAAAAACAGCAACGGAAACCCTGTATGATCACTCCCCCCGCCCCTTTTCCCACACAAGTTTATATGGAACGGTACCAGGAGCTCCAAGATAACACTTCGTTCTAGCTATGGCTGGCGAAGGGTTGGTTGGGGCTTTGGGGGATCTACATGTTTCTGTAAGAGTGGAATTGAGTCAGAGTTGCTACAGGTACGAGGGACAGCCAACTTCCGGCCACATTTCCCGTTCCCCCTGTGCCTCCTCTGCAGCCTTGACCTTCAGCTCCCTGTGTTTCCCCTGCAGCTTTTGTTTTGGCTGGAAAGCCTCGTCCTCTGTGCCCATCACCCTGGGCTGCTTCGGGGCTGCTTCTTGCCACCTTCATGGCCAGGACGTGGTACCCACCGTATCCCATATGGGTGCAAGTTCAGGTCTTTGCTGCTCTAGCTCTGATCCAGCGCCCTGCTTGTGGCCTGGAAAAGCAGTGGAGGATGGATGGCTCAAGCATTTGAGCGCTTACATCCATGTGGGAGACCAGAGAAAGCTGCTGGCTCCTGGCTGTAGATTGGCTTAGCTCCAGCTGTTGCAGCCATTTGGGGAGTGAGCCAGCAGATGGAAGATACTTCTCTTTCTCTGTCTCTCCTTCTGTCTGCGTAACTTTACTTTTCAAACAAAAGGAAATAACTACATATATAATATGCATGTGGCATATATATTATTTATAATTATATATGGCACATATATATAAATATGGCATCCCTGTGGGGCCAGCATTATGGTGCAGCAGCTGCAGCCAGCGGCTCATATGGGCTCTGGTTCAAGTCCTAGCTGCTCCCCTTCCAGTCCAGCTCCCTGCTAATGGAGCAGAATCCCAAGAATCTCCTTGTGCAGACTCAAAGCTCCCTGCTCTTGGCTTTGCCCTCGTCCAGCCATTGTGACCATTTGGGGAGTAAATCAGTGAATGGAAGGCCTCTCTCCCTCTCCTCTCTCTCTCTAGCTCTACTTTTCAAACAGAAACAAATCTTAAAAGAATATTATCAGTGTTAAGCCCGGCACGGTGGCTCAGTGGCTAAAGTCCTCACCCTGAACATGCCAGGATCACACATGGGCACTGGTTCATGTCTCAGCAGCCCCACTTCCCATCCAGCTCCCTGCTTGTGGACTGGGAAACCCCTCCGCCCTCTGTCTCTACCTTTCAAATAAACTGAAAAGAAATCAATATATGGTTTAAACCTTAAGGACTGCCTTGCTCAGAGTGGGTACTCTCTAACGGGTTTATTTCCTCTGTGAAGTGTGTGTAGGCTGGGACCCTGGCACTGTCCTGCTCGCCTCTGAAAACAGCAGGTTGGCATCTGTAGAGCAGGAGGGCAAAGGTGTTGCCCTACCCAGGCCTCCACAATGAGCCGGCTGCCTCGCAGGATGAGGAACCCATCAACTCCATTTCCGGAGCCTGCCTCCTCACTGCTGGCCCAGCCTGGTCCTCCCAGAATCATTGCACAGCTGAGAGCCCTGCCCTTGTACAGCCCACCCCATTGGAGTCGTGGAAAGAAACGGGGACACTCCAGCCATGTTCAAGGCATGTCCCTCTTCTGTCCTCAGGGGAGCAGAGATGACCACCAGCTGAGTCTAAACACGCTCATTGGCCTTTTGGTGTATGTAAGTGAAAGGCTGAGAGGGGTGAGGAGTTAGGGTGATGGCAAGGATGACAGTGTTAATTATGGGGTGTGGCATCTTCAACTGGGCCAGATGGGAAGTGTGAGCAGGAGGGAGGCGGAGCACCTGTTAACACAGCTCGAGGGAGCTGTATAAACCCCAGAGTCCAGGGCTGGCGCGACAGGAATGAGTCCGAGTTTTGATGCTGGACGTGGGGGAAGAAGAGCCCGCGGTGAATCCAGACTTGGGGTGACGCAGAGACAGCATGCAGCTGCACCCCACGCAAGTGTGGGTGCATGGGGGCACATCCTGATTTTTAAGGAGGAAACTCTGAAATCTTAACCGGCCCCTGCATGTAAAATAAATTAAAATAAATAAACATAGTACAATTTTAACAAAGTTATTGGATTCTCCAGGTGTTCCTCTTACCCTTGATATTTAAGTCCTCACAGAAGTATCTTTTTGGTCTGTATCCTAACAGATTTTT